TTTTCAAAACTTTTGGTACCATTATTTTTAAGCCGCAAATAAATTTAATATCAGAATTTATGATATAAGTATAATTTTACTTATTTATTGAAACATCATTTTCGTTACGGAAGTTAACTAGAAAGCTCACTCTTAGGGGGTTGTCGGTTGGTGTAATTTTGAGGTAAGTAAGATAAATTTTAAGACTTTATTTTATAGTGTTATTCATTAGGACAATGAGATTGTGATTTCACTTTAAAATATTATTCATTGGTGATAGATCATGTTAATATCTTTATATATAGCATGTAAATATTCTCTTGTTATGATTCCTTAATTATAGCCTAGATTATAGCCTAGATTATATATAGCATGTAAATATTCTCTTGTTATGATTCCTTAATTATAGCCTAGATTATAGCCTAGATTATAGTCTCATAGAGCTGTATATATTTGACAAGAGTTGAATGAGAAAGGCAGGCAATATACAATCTTTCATGGTATCAGACTAGGTTACGAACCCTAGCCGCCGTCTTCTTCCGTATCCTGCCTCCCTCTTCTTCCTCTTCCTCTACCTTCTCTCTTCTTTCTCCATGGCAGAAACCCACAAGTTTCATCCCGCTTTGGCTGTCAACAATATCAAAAACTTCATCCCAGTCATTCTTGACATGGAAAGCTCTCAATACAATTCTTGGGCCACATTATTCAAGATCCACGCAAGGGCCTATCAAGTCCTCGACCACATCATTCCGCCGACTTCAACAACCACAGGGAAGAAGACATCCTCATCCAAGGATGCGGAATCCGAGGACAACGACCTCTGGGATCGTTTAGACGCCATTGTCCTTCAATGGATTTATGGCACGATTACTAACGACGTTCTCCTTACCATTCTTGAACAAGATGCCACGGCCATGGATGCTTGGAACCACTTAGCCGATTTGTTCCACGACAACAAAACCTCCAGAGCCGTCCATCTTGAGTACCAACTCTCTCAGGTTCGACTTGATGATTTTCCTAACGTTGCAGCCTATTGTCAACGTATCAAGACGCTTGCGGATCAACTCGGGAATGTCGGCGTACCGGTTTCAGATGCACGGAGAGTGCTTGTACTTTGTTCGGGTCTCAACAGTGCTTATCGTGGGGTTGGCAGGCTCATCCAACATAGCAAACCTCTCAAATCTTTCTCCGATGCACGTTCTACCTTGGTGATGGAGGAAGCCACTCTCAACAATAGCGCTGCCCGGGAATCTGATTCTGTTCTTATTGTAGGTACTCACACCAACTCATCTGATGATACTTCCAATGTTGTGCAACCTCCACGCCACAACAACAATCACCATCGCAACAATTATCACAAAAAGAACGGAGGTCGCGGTCGTGGAAATCATAATGGTCACGGCTATAAGGGTCGTAGAGGAGGTCGTGGTAACACTCATGGGGGACGTGGCAATGCTCTGCAGCAGCAGCATCAATCATCTCCATGGCCACCTATGTGGCAGTTTCCGACATGGGGAGGATGGGCACCCCAACCTTGGGCCACACCTCCTTGCCCCTATCCTACATCATCCTGGCAGCCACGCCCTACTCCCAGACAGCCTGGTATTCTTGGTGCTCGACCTCCACAAGCCTACCATGTAGCAGCAGCTCCTCAACACACTGATTACATGCCCACTAATGTTGAGCAGGCTATGCACACACTCTCTCTCAACCCACCGGATGACAATTGGTACATGGACACCGGTGCAACCTCCCACATGACTTCAAATCAAGGTACTCTCTCGTCTTATTTTAATTTGAGCACAAATCGTGATATTGTTGTTGGAAATGGCCATACGATTCCAATTCAAGGTTATGGTAGCACTGCATTATCTCCCTCCAACCCCCCTTTACACCTAAACAATGTCTTGCATGCCCCAAAACTCATTAAGAACCTTATTTCCGTTCGCAAATTCACTAAAGATAATTCTTGTTCTGTTGAGTTTGATCCGTTTGGATTTTATGTGAAGGATTTACAGACGGGGAAGCACCTACTGAGATGTGAGAGCTCGGGAGACCTCTATCCCTTCACCAAAAATCGGGCCATTTCTGATTCCGTCTTTACTGCTTTGTCTTCAAGTTTATGGCATAGCCGTTTAGGGCATCCCGGGGAAGTTATTCTTAATTCTCTCCGTAGTAACAATTTTATTCAATGTAATAAGGCCCGTGGATTTTTTTGTCCTTCTTGTCCTCTTGGAAAACATATTAAGTTGCCATTTAAGAGTTCTACTTCTTTTACTTGCTTGCCATTTGATATTGTTCACAGTGATTTATGGACCTCCCCCGTTTTGAGCTCCTCGGGACATAAATATTATGCCTTATTTTTGGACGATTATTCGAATTTCCTATGGACTTTTCCTATTTCTAATAAATCACAGATTTATTCTATCTTCCAAAAATTTCAAGCATATATTCGCACTCAATTCGAACGGGAAATTAAAAATTTGCAATGTGACAATGGGCGGGAGTACATTAATGGACCTCTTCAAAACCTTTTTGACCGTCATGGCATGGATTTTCGTCTCTCATGTCCACATACATCCCCACAAAATGGAAAATCCGAACGAAAAATTAAGTCCATCAATAACATTGTTAGAACTCTTCTAGCTCACTCTTCCATGCCCCCTTCCTTTTGGCACCATGCTCTTCAAATGGCGACATACCTTCTAAATATTCTTCCTTCTAAGGTCTTGGGATACAAAACTCCGACACAAATCCTCTACCAAAGGATTCCTTCCTACTCTCACCTTCGTGTGTTTGGTTGCCTATGCTATCCTCTCTTCCCCTCCTCAACCATCAACAAGCTTCAAGCTCGGTCCACCCCATGTGTATTCTTGGGCTATCATTCCAATCACCGGGGTTACAAGTGCTACGACTTGTCAAGTAGGAGAATCATCATCTCTCGCCATGTCCTATTCGATGAAACTCAGTTTCCTTTCTCAAAATTGCATACTCCAACTTCCTCCTCATATGAGTTCCTAGATGACTCCCCATCGCCATACTTAATCCAAGCATTGCAACAAAATTCTTCTAGTCCAAGTCGTCTACCTCCCTCCTCAACGGACCAGCCTCCTCAATCCCCCTCATCACCAATCCAGCCTGCAGCGCCCACTTCCCAGGCCCAACAGCAACCACGGCCCACTCCCTCAACCCGCATTTCCACTAGAAGTCA